GTTCGAGAGGGTACCAGTCTCTCGGACTGCATGTACCTGGCCAAAATGAGGACTAGGTACCCCTGGAGAGGCCAAAACAAAAAATTTGGCCTTTGGGGTACCTCGCTCCACCTAGAGGCACTTGGAGGGGCCTAGAGGTTGGGCGGTGCACCTGTTCCAGCCTATATAAGCCATACCCAGGAGGCTAGAACCAAGCATTGGGACTCCACTGCCTAGAGATGTGGGGCAAGGAAGGAGCCTCAGAGGCGATTAAAAGCTTCACATAGCATGGCTTGGAAAAAGTTGATTCTTGTCGGACCGATGGAAGTGAAATGCCTGGACGGCCGGCTCCAATGGCCTCACCGAGATGTGCGGGGTGATTCCCGAGATTAACGGTGGGTACACGAGTGGCAAGTCGGGATGGGGTATTCTGGGTAAGGAGGAAAGGGCGAATGCCTTGCCGAGACCTGGGTACCGCGCTCGTGACGGTTGAGCTGCGCTTGAGGTATGGGGTAAAACCCTGCCGATAGTAACAGTGGAGAGACCATTTCCGGGGAAGAGGTCGGTGAGGAGATGACCGACCTGTGTGCAACGTTTGCCTGAGTTTTGCTTTTTGTGCCTCCCTCTGTAAAGTTGCCTGATGAGTGTTGGATGGGGACCGGGTCTCTAAGTCTACTCTCACCCCAAGTCTAAGTCCGCACGAGTGAGAGAACATGAGGATGAGGTTGGATAAGAGTCGGAAGAAAGTGGAACCAAGAAAAGGGAATGCGGGCCTATGGTGATCGATTGGGGGTATGGTAAGGGCAATGGCACCTGGGAAATGGATAAGGAAAGTTAGAGAAACCCGGACGAGCGTCGGGAAATAAGATGGCGCGATGGTTGTCGCCTCCTGTCTACTTTAGTAGTCCGGAAATGCCTATAGAGGTAAGGGGTGGAGTATCTGTTGTTCTCCCAGAAGAAGGGACGTGGACCGACCTAGAACCAACCTATGAAACCGTGATGCTGGACGAGAAGGACGCGTTCCTCTGGATAGAGAATCTGGACTAAGGTCAGCCTGACGAGACTCTCACCCTGCTTGATGGATCTAGAATTTCGGGGAACATTGGAAGCTCGAGGATGGGTCTATCTGTCACAGGAAATGAAAAATGCAATGGTAGTGGGACTAGTATTGGGCACGGCACCGGATCAGCTGTTTAGGCAAGCTGAACGGGAGGTGGTATGGGCAGCGTGTCAGCGGGCAGAAATGGAGATGGAAAGGATAGAGGTGCGAGTGGAACTCGGGGACCGGGAGAAAATGAGACGACCTCTTAGGACAATGAGGTGCGTGCTACCCCCGTTTCTGGTGGATGCAGTCTTTGGGACCAGGGATAGGCTGGAACGTATATGCCAATCAATGACACGCCTGAGGCTGTACCAGTGTGCTAGACAAGACTTCTTTAGACTGTCGGTGGAAGCGGGGCCGTTTGAAGGAAACTGGGCGGAAGAATTAGCTGAGGTGTTAAACCTCCTCAGCGCGGACGAAGTTTTTGTTCCTAGTCCGGTGCATTGGCAGATAGTCTACCAAAACGTGGCAGCAGGGGAAACCTTCTTGGAAGGGGTGAAAGAGATGTTCTTAGACGAGGAGGAGGATTCCAGTGATGATGAGGATGGGAACGAGATAGAGGACTGGGACTTCTGAGGGGGGGCTTAACTGGAGAAAAACGGGTGGTCGACTATGTGCAGGTAGGGAGCGATGGCCCGGGAATTTCTGCCACGGGACTGCACATGGGAACCAAAACGTATTGGGAGAGGAGTAGAGATGTCTATACCGCCAAGTAATGAATGGAAAGGGACCACATGTGACTGGCGGGGGTATGAGATTGTGCCGGAACTATCGTACTTATGGATAGAACGTGTTTGGAACCCGTTGAGGGAAGAGGAAGGTTAGGAGGAGATTGCGGAAGGCAGGGTGGAAGCGGTTGGGATGGTCGTTTTCTCTGAGCAAGGTTGGCACCTGTTCTGCACGACGCTCGCGGCAGGGCAGGACCCAATGTGGCTTCTGGGGGACGCTGAGGCAAGGGCTCGACAGTCGGGGGAGAGGTTTGCTAACAAAGGTTGGGATACGGTCAGCAGTAGAGTCGTGATGGGAGGATGGAAGGAATTTAAACCGCCTGGCGCCCGAACCAATGGCTGCTAATGTTGCCACGTTGGGCGCAGCTTGAAAAGCGCCTACTAAAATCAAAAACTCACCAATAAAGCTACTAGTGCCTGGCAGACTAACCTTCTCGTGCAAGCTTTCTATGCCCTTCTTGACCTTATCTCCTGTTTTCGCCGTCAGGTCTATGACTTCCCCTTCCTTAAGCAGGGCTAGTGTTTCGGTCACTACTGTCTTTTCCGCAAGATCTGTTACAGTGCTGAAATCCACATCCCTCGTGTATTCGAACTTGCTGGTCTATTGGTATGCCGACAGAATCTTATCCTTATCAAACTCGGAAAACTGCCTGAGGAAGTACTTGCTCATTATGCGGTCCGTTACCCCGGGAATTCGCAGAGCCACTAACGTGAACGCCCTTAGGAAATCGTTGTAAGTCGCATAGTTTTTCCTCTGGACTGCGGCTAATTCGGCCTTTGTTGCCATTTTCTCTGCCTTCAGGTATTTCCTCGTCATCTCATTCCTGGTTTCTTTCCAGGATCCACTGGAGGCGACGATGGCCATAATGTCCCTTCCCAAGCTTAGCGACACGTGCTGCCCTAGGTGCTCCATCTTTTCCTCTTCCGTTCATTTCAGTAAGGCTGTTAGGTTCTCATAATCTATTAGAAACTCCGTAATGTTGGCCCCATCGAACGTGAGTTTCTTTTTTGCATCTGCGAGATACCCCTGGTTCTTGTACAGTGTCTTGGTGAGGGTGGCGACTACTCTCTTAAGACCATCTTCGGAGCCACCCGCTTCTCCGGCTGCACTGGTCCCTTCCCCTTCCTTGCTTTCCCTCTACTTCCCCCTGGTTTTCGGCGTTCCTTCTGGGTCGAACCATCCTAGCACTCTTTCCCTAAGGCTCCAGAGTCCGTCATTCGCCCCTGTTACTTTCGGCGTGGCGGGTAGTCTGGTAGTGCTGCTGTTGATGGCGGGTGGGGTCATAGCGTTTTCCGTTCCTTCCGCTGGGGGGTCGTTCTTGTCCTTCCCCTTCTTGCTAGGCGTTTCTTTGCGGCTATTATCCTTCCCCTCATACCTGGCCTCGTCCTGACTGGTCCCGCGTCCCTCACGTGACACTGCGCTCTAGGGGTCCTCCTCGTCCCCGGCCATCATCTGCTCGATAAGCCTTGCCTTAAATTCTGCAGTCTGCTTTTCTATTTCTGCCAATTTACGACTGGCATCCGAGACTTTTGTCGTTTTAGGGGTGGCTCCTGCTGAGTTCCGAGGACTTGTTCTCATATCGTTTCCCCGTTCCCTGTTTTCCTGAGGTCCCCTTTTGCTACCCCTAGCTTTCCCCGAACTTTCCCCAATTGAGGCGTTTTTTCCGTCTTCTCGGGTTCCTTCCAGTTTGGCTGACTCTCGATCCCTTACTGATCCCTCGTTTCGTTCCCCATCCCCATTCGTGCCCTGATTCCCTCCGCTCTGCTGATCATCGAACCCTTCCTCAGTCGCCATTTCTTTACCTAGCCTGCACATGGAAATTTTTTTTTGCGAAAAATGGCCGGTTGTTCATAACTGCCCTAGTCCCGGCCCTAAAGTCCGCTTATTCCCATGTTTCGCGTCTTACATTAATTAGTACGACTCTTCTGACTTTTTTCTCCCGGGGCGTCCTTCAGGTTTTCTTCTACCGGGCCATGCCGCCGCCGCTTGGCATTTCTTTACTGTCGCGCTTAGATTCTTAGGGCGGTGCCTGAGCCTAGTGGTTTTCCTATCAGGTATGGCCCTTTTGGCTTATTGGCATCCAGGTGCCCCAGAACTTTTGGTGCGGGTGGTCTTCCTAGTTCCTCCTTGCCGCATCATTGGGTCGGCCGGAACTCCAACCACTGCCCCTCTTTTGTTGATAGCTGCCTACTTATCTTAGTACTCATCCTTTATTTCCCTGCCTCTCCCTGACACGTTCTCTCATGCTGGTCTCTCAGGCCTGCCCTGCTCATCCGGTTCCTCGAACAGGTCAGCCAACCCAGCAAGGTAATTTTCCCCCATCTCTATTTCCCTGATAATTATTGGCTCATATTCTTCAAACGACAGGTGGGGCAATCCGAATATCAAGATCTCGAGCAATTCGAGTAGCTCCCAGGCCTGATTCCCCCATAATGGCCCATGTCTGACCGACACATCGTAGAACATGCTCGTTGTTTGTGGTCGGAAGAGGTGTATCCAGACCAGGGTCGAGTCCACCAGGTCCCTAGCTCTCTTGATGCTACCGAATACCAAGTCCACCATGAAACGAGGTACTCGACACCTCAACCCGGTCATTGGGGCCTTAAACTCTCGTCACCCCCCGGCCTCCACCCGAGTTCTTAATCCCACGTTTCTTCTCCCCCGCACTTCCTGGCCTACTCGGCTTAGTACCTTAGTAGCCTTTTGGAAGACTGGCAACAACCCATGTCCTAGTGCCAACTCCGTCCCTAACATGTGCCACCCGGACTCTGGTAGGTATACGGTTCCTGTCACCCTGAGGTCAGTGTACAGGTCGTCCCCGGGTCCCCTGTTAATCCTCATAGCATCCCACAAACATTCCACCATCATGAATGCTTGACCCCTTCCCAGGGTCACGACCCTCCATTCGATGTCCAGTCCTTGGATCATGTAGCTTGCTGGGAGCGAAACCTCCCATCCGCCTCCACTTTCCGTGGGTGGTCGCGGATGCATGGGTCGTCGCAACATCCGGGCGCGTCTCATCGCCATTTTTGACTTAGTAGTCCCCTGCACAGTTTAAACAGCAAGCGGTTTTACTTATTTCATTTAATCTTCAGCTCCCGCCCGAACACTCCCTGGTTTCTAGCTTGAATCTTCCTTTTCTTTCCTTGATCTCTTTTATTGGTCTGTCCCTTCGTCCATTAGCTCATACAATCGGTACAGATCATCCACGTACACCATCCCTTGACTTATTTCCCGTCGGATGACACCCCACAGGACCTCACTTCCTACGGTCGGAGCCCTCAGCCTGGTGCTAAACACAGCACGCAGGATGCGCAACACCTCATACTTCTGCTCCCCACCGAACGGCCCCATTTCTAGGAAGGCCCGATAGTATTCTCGATGTACCATCGCATCTTCATATGTCAGACTTGCGAGGTCGGCTACCGCTTGTCTAACAAGTCCCAGACCGCCCAGCCTTTCCAACAGGAAGGGCGGCAACCTCATTCGTACATTTTCACTAGGCAATTCGAAACCCCCGACCATGGCTACCCTAAGGTCTGCTGTTACATCGTGGACCTGCGGATCTGCGAACTCAAATCCCGTTCGCCATACTAACTGCCATGCCCCTTCAAACATGCTCAACAGGTCTTCTCCTAATGCCAGCCGAACTGCGAACTCCCTCCACCCATCTTCTGACACATACAGTCGTCCTTTCGCACGCACATGCCCCCGCGGGTCTGTGTTCCATTCCCCATTCTCATCCGCACGCCACTCAACTTTCGTTACCAAGTAAACCATATTTTCCACAAGCTCGACCCCGACCCAATCTGCCACCTGGTGCCAGCCTTCACTTGTCGTCGGCAAGCTAACCTCTACCCCACCCGGTACTTCCCTAGGCGGCTCAATGCCCAAGGGGCGTTCCTCCAGGAACGTCCTTCTTCGCGCCATCACACACTCGCCTTCGTTCTCCTGGCTCGTGATCCGCACCGAACCCTACAATGGCCAGACATCCCACTCCCTTATCTTAGCAATTTTCCCCATGTTTGCCTGGCCCCACGGCTTTTCCTGCGCTTAGTCGAACCACAACACCTCAAACAGTTTAAAAACGTCGTCCACATAACAGGGTGTCGCTGCCACCTCACGACAGATTATGGCCTCTCTAGTTTCCGTGGCCACCTCTTGTCGGTCATTCGTTTCAATATCCAAAATGATAAGAACCTCCCGAGCTCTATCACCGTGGAAGGGCCAGAATTTCAAGGACGTCCTATAGAATTCTTCCGCCAGCCATGCGCAGTTCACGTGAATTCGTTCCATCGTGTCGGCTACCTTTGTTACATGATCGAAACCCCCAAACCAGTCTCAAAAAGAGTGGAAAACGCACTATTAGTGATGCGGGCGCAAGTATCTCGACCCGCCCTCCCGCCCTCCCGCCCCAAGAAGCCGTGGTTCCGGCAGCGGTAGCAAGCCGGGGATTTGGCAGGAGGGAGCCGACCAACGAACAATGCAAGTATTGCACCATGATTGGGTATTTCGTACGGGCCTGTCCGAGACTCAATCACGCTATCGAGCGGCAGAGGTGCAGCAGGTCCCTCAAAGGCGAGATCCTCGGACCAAGGGGAGAGCGTGTCAATTGGAACTCGCCAGGAGGGATGCGGCGAGCCGTCATCCTCCTGAATAACTTAGAGATAGCTGCCGTAGAAGCAGAGCCGATAGGCGAGATTGCCTGGGACCAGCCAAGGGGACGGGGACCACAGGCCAATTTTATCCTAGAAAGCACGGGGCAGGATAGGGTAAACATCACTACTCGACGGGCTGGCGCAGAAAAGAAGCTCATCCGAGACACAATAATGGAAGAAGTCGCGGGGGCTAGTGCAGAACAGGAGGAAGCTGAGGCCGGGGAGCAGGAGAAGGTCTATGGAAAAACGAGGGAAGAGGAACCGATAGATAAAGCAACGGCGGCAAAAAAGAAATTCTGGTACCAGATCCCGATTCTGACGCTGCCCGAATTAGATGACACACTGAGCAAACTCCTGGGCACCATGGTGTCGGTATCCTTCCAGACCATGCTGCAGGCAAGCCCGAGACTACTCAAGGGTCTCAGGCAACTATTGACGCGTAAACGTGTAGAAGTAGAGGAGGCTCCGGAACCACAGGAACAAGGACCCGAGGAGGCCGAGACGCCACAAGGAGTCTCTAACCTCCAGAGCATTCCAAAGGGCTTGGAAGATTTGGAAAAAGCCTTTGCTGATATTCGTCTGAACTTGTCGGACCGAGAAGGTGGCGAAGTTATGAGAGCGCCACCGGGCACTAAACTTAGCTTCCACGCACTACCTGTAGGAAAACTGAAAGTCCAGGTCGGAACTCACCACACCGATGCACTAGTGGATGGCGGCGCGAAGATTACCCTCATACGACGGGATTTCGCAATGATCACAGGGTGCACAGTGAATAAGGAAGTAGCAGGGAGTATCCGGGGAGCGGGGGGGGGGAATTCCATTCACTGGGTATGTCACCAAATGCGCGATCAAGGCGGGAATTCGGGAATCCATTTGGTCTTTTCAAAGGATAACCGTCATGGAAGAAATGGACCATGACATAATCCTTAGGAGACCATGGTGTGCCAATGTAGAAATGATTGGCATGCACCTGCATGATGGCACATATATGGTAGACATAGAGGATCCGGTGACTGGTCGCGGAGAACTTCTCCGACTACTCGGAATTGGAGGGGACCCGCCCAAGGGTAAGTTGGCAACCTGGTTGCCGACGTTTGAAGAAAGCGCACGGAAGGGCGCATTTGCACGGATGCAAGGCATGAGGGAAAGGGTATAAATTATCATTGAGGAAGCGTTTAGTAAAATGGAATGGATCAAAATGGGGCTACCCCAAAAGAAGAGGAGGCAAGAGGACGAGGCCCTGGAAGTTATGGTGGCAGAAAAAGAGTCGGAAGTCGAACTTGGGGCCAGCCTGCCCAAGCCAAAGAAAGGCCGAAACGAAACGTCGGCGGTGGTGCTTGAAGTCCCAGATTTATTACAACTCGTTAAGGCCATCAGGTACCACAAAGTGGGGGTGGACCCCGCAACGCTTGCTAGATTTGAGGATGGGGTCCGAAAGGGCTATTGTCTGCATGGGAAGCTGGTCAGCATCCAGCCCCGCGTCCTGGAGGTAACAAGGCCGATCCCGACCGTTCATTTTTTAGGAGAACGATCCCAGAAGGCAGTGTGCGAAAGTACAAACCCGTAGGGAAGAAGGCTAAGCCGGTCTCGATCCTAGTAGAAACATCAAGGGAAGAGGCCATGGAAAAAGAGGAGGAGATCCTACGGGTTATAAGAGAGAGACGGGCAACGGAAGGGCACCGCATACCAGATGACGTAGCAGATACCATGAAAATAGGGGTGGAAGGGTTCCTAACGGCGGAAGAGACCCAGCTGATAAGAAAGGTGTGTCAGGAATGCCATTTAGCTTTCACTTTCAACGATTATCAGAAAGGGCGACTGGACGCAAAGCTAGGTCCCCCTGTCAGGATCCACACGGTGTTGGAACGATAAAGGGCCTGCCTACGAGTTTGGGATAGCGGCGGAGGTCACCGACCTGCTTAGAGCCAAGATAGATTCATTCGTGGCTGAACCTACCGCATCCCCCTACGCGAACAAATGGTTCGTGTTCAGGAAGCTCAATAAGACACTCAGGTGGATCCAGGACCTGCAGAAGCTCAATGCGGTAACAATTAGGGACGCAGGTTCGCTTCCACAGGCCGATTTGTTGGCAGAATCTCACGTCGGGCGAAGCATCTACTCCCTGATAGATCTATACTCGGGATATGACCAGCTGCCGCTCGATGCGAGAGATAGACCGTATACCGCAATGCACACCCCCGTAGGGCAATTGCAGATGCAAGTGACCCCTATGGGTTTCACAAATGCGGTAGAAGAGGCGCAGAGGAGGATGCTTGCCGTCGCAGGGGATATGTTTCCAGAAAAGTGCGAGCCGTATGTAGATGATAATCCCGTAAAAGGCGCAAGGTACAAGGACGAGACAGAAGTCGAGCCGGGCGTACGGAAGTTTGTTTGGGACCACCTGCAAGATATTAAGGACCTACTCCAACCGTTCCTAGTCTACAATATTACTGCAAGCGGACCCAAGAGCATCCTGGCCATCCCGGAAGTAACCATACTAGGATTYCGCTGTGGAGCTTATGGGAGGAGACCTGACCCAGCAAAAAAGATAAGATTTCTCAGTGGCCAACACCCCTGCGCACCACAACGGGGTTCCTAGGGGTGGTCGGATTCTGGAGAATCTTCATCAAAGGATTTGCAAAGATAGCTGAACCTATCCGCGCAATGATTAGGGAAGGGGGCACCATGGATTGGACCGAGGATAGGGAAGAGGCAGCCCAGACCCTGAAAGACATCTTGTCATCCGATCAGGTCACTCTAGCAGCACCCTGTTTCAATGACGAGGTAGGACAACCCTTCATCCTAAAAACAGATGGGGGACCCTTTGCGGTTGGAGGAGTATTAATACAGAGAAGCAAGGAGGGCAAGGAAAGGCCAATCAGATTTGAAAGTAGGACCCTGAATTCGGCAGAGCGTCGGTACTCACAGTTCAAGAAGGAGGTCTTAGCGATCCTGCATTGCCTTGAGACCTTCGAGGCATACCTGTTCGGGAGGCGATTTATCCTAAGGATCGATCCCACCAACGTCGCCGGGGCTCTAAAGAACTACAAGCCTATGGCAGATGGATAGGCTTCATATGGCAATTCGACTATAAGGTCGAGCGAATTGCGGGACTTCGAAACAGGGCAGATGGGCTGAGCAGGGTATGTATCACGCCAGAAGGAGTAGAGGATGCGGAACCAATCGATGCTTTCCTGGAATACGAAGGAGGGACCCTTGTCGTGGATAATGAGATGGCAGATCCAGCAATTACAACAGGTCAGCTGCTGATTCAGACCTTGGAAAAGGGCGCACCTGCAGTAGTTGCAGAACTCAGGGAAGGACCAGCAACCAAGGTCAGGCATAAAGAGGAGAAGGACTCGTGGTGCGCAGAAGTAGGGGCCAAAGAAGAACTGATGGCGATGGCCGTGGAAGGGGGATGGGACGCCGTGATGACGTTGGCCGAAACCTGGGCGCAAAAGGATTGTTAGTACCTGGTCAACCTCACTCGGGAGGAGCAGGGTACGGATCAGAAGGAACAAGAATTCTTCCTCATACAGATGTACGAGGGCGTTTTTAAGGAAATCGGCCTGTTGCTGGTAGGGAACAAACAACCCACGGAAGTCAGTCCCAAGGCAAGGGAGGAAGCCGAAAAGTATGTCCTAAGAAATGACCACTTGTTCAAGAAAGAGGAAGGGATGATGCCTAGACGCGTCGTTTGTGGGAGGTCTAGGCAGCTGGACGTAATTCAGGCAATGCATGCCGGGCTAGCTGGAGGTCACAAGTCGTCTAAGGGGACACTTGCAAAGATTGTACCCCTGTACTTCTGGCCAGGAATGACAGGCATGGTCGCAACATATTGTCAGACGTGTCTGATATGTCAAGAAAGAAGCTTCATATGGGTCTACGAGCCCCTTAGACCCACTCGGGTACTGGGACCCGGGCACCTTGTTCACCTCGATCTTGCGGTTATGCCCGTATCAACGGATGGGTTTAGATATATCTTGGATGCAAGGGATAATCTTAGTGGCTATGTAGAGGCCGTAGCCCTCAAGAAGAAGACGGGGAAAGCAGTGGCCGACTGGGTGGAAGATTTCTACCTAAGACACCCCTTCGTGCGCAGGTTTATAGTTGATAATGGGACATAATTCGTTAACCAGGAGGTGGTGAACAGGCTTAAGACACTGCGCGTACCAATCAAGATCACCGAGCCCTACCATCCTGAGGCAAATGCACCAGTAGAAAGGGGGCACCGGACTTTGAAGAACACAATCGCAAAATTGGCAGCGAAAAATTTGGCAAGTTGGCCACGGTTTCTTAAGCAGGCAGTCTTCGCCGAGAACATGACTCCAAAAAGAACAACGGGGTGCATCCCAGCAGAACTCTGGTATGGAAGGGAGATTGATTTTCCGGTAGAAGCTTTGGTTCCTACCTGGAACAGGCTAGATGACGGTCCACACTTGACCACGGAAGCGTTAATCACCGCACGCTGTCAGCAGGTCGCCAGAAATGAGGAGGCACTGGAAGAAGCGGTCAATCGTGTGACGGATAGCCGAATGAGGAATAAAGCAAGATGGGACCAGGTCAAGAACGTTCGCAAGGAGCCACTCCAGGTGGAGGAAAAGGTGCTAGTTAGGAACTCGGCTCTTGAAAGTACATGGTCCGGACAGC